ACTGTGAGCAGTAAATTTCTGTTGATTAAAAATGACCCAGTCTAGGAGCCGGCGCTGTGGCTCACTTGGTGAGTCCTCCGCCTGAGGCGCTCGCATCCCAAATGGGCTCCAGATTCTGTCCCGGTTGCTCCTCTTCCAGTCCAGCTCTCTGCTGTGGCCCAGGAAGGCAGTGGAGGATGGCCCAAGTGCTTGGGCCCTGCACCTGCGTGGAAGACCAGGAGGAAGCACCTGACTCCTGGCTTCGGATCGGTGTAGCTCCAAGCCGTAGTGGCCATTTGGGGAGTGAACCAACGGAAGGAAGGCCTTTCTCTCTGTCTCTCTCCCTCACTGTCTAATTCTATCTGTCAAATAAATAAATAATAATTTTAAAAAATTACCCAGTCTAAAATATTTTTATTTTAGTAGCAAACTAAAAGAAAAAATCACAAGAACCATCTTCTCAAGGGAACTAGCTCACAGCTCATGCCCTAAGCTGCCAGAGCCGGCGTGCCGCTGTGAGTCTCGGCAGACAGCCTCAGCCTCAGCCTCAGCCGGCAGGGCCTGCGCGCCAGGGAGACTTCAGTGAGGGAGCAGAATGAGTGGTGCAGACATGGAAGTTGTCTCTGTTTCCCCGTATCACTCTTGAAACTGAGCAAAAATAAGTTTAAATTTTCCTTTCAAGAAAGCAAACAATCACCACAAAGTCATCTCTCCCTCGCTACTCAGCGCTGGTTCCCTCTCCTGCTCCCTCTTGGAAGCTCAGAAGGGTGGAGCGGCTGACGGATCACCTTCCACCTGGCCACCATCAAGCAAACCAAAGGAAACCGCAGCATCCACCCCCAGAGCCCTGGCAAGGTGGAGACTTCTATGACCATTTTGGCCTCCCTCAACAGGCAGAGTGAGTTGAGTGGATCACTTCTCCCTGAAGAGCCTTTCCCAGTTAATCTCCCACACCTGATGTCCTGCTGTGGACATGTTCTCGGCACCAGGAATGGCTCCCTGATGCCTCTGACTGGGCCTAGAATGTTGAGTCGGGAGCAGGAGCCCCTACTCTCTGTCTCTCCAATACACTGTCCTGCCTCTTCCTCTCCGCCCACCCAACTTTCCCCATACACCTCGAATCCTGTTGCCAAGAATCCCTCCGGGTTCCAAACATTGTAATCACCCGACCCAGAGCACCAAGCTGCATGCCAGCCATTGGCTGCGTGAACACAGCTGTGAAACAGTCCTACAGAGTTCTTACCCCTGAAGAGTTCAGGGTCAAATAAGAGACACCATTCAACAGAAATATTAACAAAGGGCTGGAAGAATAAGCACACCCAGTTCACATTGCTCTTTCCAGATGCCTTTTGTGAGTAAAGCTCTCTCACATTCATCATCTTGTGTGTCTGACAGCCCTGTGAAATAGGTGGGGCAGGTTTTATTCCTGTTTTTACACAGACAGACTCTCCAGAGCTGTACTGTCCAATATGGTAACAAATATTGAGATCTACATTAATGAAAATGAAAGTGAAAACTCAGTTGCTTATTCACACTAGCCACATTTCAAGACAACTGCCGTATATGTGGCTAATGCCTACCGTATTGGGCAGTGAAGATTAGAGAACGTTTTCACCATCACAGAAGGCTGCAGGGGGCAACCATGCTTCAGAGGTCCAGGGAGCTAGTGTGAAGGCAGGAACACGAAGCCAGAGCTTTCAGCATTCCCAGAACAGCTAAGTGAAGCTGCCAAATGGAAGGAGAGGAAACCAAAGGGCATCTAAGAAGAGCCAAGGGGAACTGCTCATCTTCTGCACGAGGATCCTGCACTGTCTGGGCTGCCTTCAGAAGGGGTGGGCTGCAGCAGCCTGGGCCAGGCCAAGAACTGGTGATGTGTGCGCAGGAACCCAGGGACCCAAGGACACCTAAGCCTGTACCCAGGGACCTAAGGACACCTAAGCCTGTAGCAGCAGCTTCCTCGGTGCCAGTCAAGAATTCCATGTCTCTCCAACACAAGGGATTTCAAGGACCCCAGTGACTGTATTTTTCTCTGACTCCAGTTCATTTCTAAAGGCAGAAAAGGAAAAATAAACAAACCAAAAAAAAAGAAAAAAGCCAGTCTTTCAGCTCCTGTGAAAGGGATATGAGGGCTCTGGATGGCAGTCGCCCACCTGCTGGAGATCTTGGCAGCTCCAAGAGGCTTAAGCGGGAAGAAGGTCAGCAAATTAAAGCTGCATATGCCGTCAGCTAAACAGACCTTTATGGTTCAAAGGAAAAACACTCAAAAGAAGAGATGAAGAAGACAGACAAGATTTCAAAGTGTTCTCACCAACAGCTCCCCACGAAGGTCAAAGCAATGCCCCAAGAACCATGACCCTGCCTCTAGGAACACCCTCCACCACAGACCTATTCATGAGCATAGACATCTGACACAAATGTCCTGCCTGCAGTCACCCACAAAGGCTTGGAATCACAGGAACGCACACACAGGGCACACGCAGCTCCAGCCCTGAGCTGATTATCTACTGCTGCAGAGCAAAGCATCCCCAAACTTCAGTAGCTTAAAATAACAACAATCATTTATTTAGCAGTTTGGGCAGAGCTTGGCAGGGAAGAATTGCCTGTGCCATCAGCTGGGTAGCACAACGAAGGCAAGATGCTCACTCACGTGGCCGCCCATGGATGCTGGCTGGCACTGGAACCTCAGCTGGTGCTGTCAGCCAAGACACTGACAAGTGGCCTCTCCAAGTAGCTGTTTGGCCTCTGTCTTAGTCCATTTTCTGTTGCTATAACAAAATACCACGGACTCGGTAATTTATAATGAACAGAAATTTATTTAGCTTTTGAACAAAAATTTATTTAGCTCATGGTTCTGGAGACTAGAAGGCCAAGACAGAGGGGTTGATCTGGTGAGAGCCTTTGGGCTACATCTTCCCATGTTGGCAGGGCAGGAGAGCAAGTGTGTGTGAAAGAGCAAAGCGGGAAGGCGCAGACTATCTTTACAACGACCTGCCACTTCTGAGATAACCACACTAATCCATGCATGAGACTGGAGCTCCCATCACCTAGTCACTTTTTTTTTTAAGATTTATTTATTTATTTGAAAGGCAGAGTTATAGAGAGACAGAGGCAGAGAGAAAGGTCTTCCATCCTCTGGTTCACTCTCCAGATGCACCAGCATCATCCTAGTCACTTTTTAAAGGTCGCATCTCTTAACACTCTTAACATTCAAACCATAGCAGCCTCCTTGCATCTTTGTTTAAAAAAGAAAGAAAGATGGAGCCTGTGTTGTGGCATAGCAGGTGAAGCCACCACCTGCAGTGCCAGCAGCCCATGTGAGCTCCAGTTCAAGTCCCAGCTGCTCCACTTCCGATCCAGCTCTCTGCTATAGCCTGGGAAAACAGTAGAAGATGGCCCAAGTCCTTGGGCCCCTGCACCTGTTTGGGAGACCCAGAGGAACCTCCTGGCTCCTGGCTTCAGTTCAGCGCAGCTCCAACCATTGCAGCCATCTGGGGAGTGAACAAGCAGATGGAAGATCTCCCTCTCCCTCTGCCTCTCTGAAACTCTGCCTTCCAAATAAATAAATATTTTTCTTTAAAATAAAGATTTATCTGAAAGGCATAGTGATAGACAGAGAGGGAGATATGGAAGAGAGATCTTCCAATTGCTGATTCATTCCCCAAATGCTACAACAGCCAGGGGTGGAGCAAGCAAAAGACAAGAGCCAGGAACTCGATCCAGGTCTTCTATATGGGTGACAGGAACCCAAGTGCTTGGGCCATCCTCCGCTGTTTCCCAGGTGGCTGGACTAAAAGCACAAATATAGGCTGTGCACATCTCAAGCAGCCACTTAACCCATTGTACGATACAACCTACTCCTCTTCACAGCTTGGTGGCTGGTTTCCAGGAATAAGCACCCTAAGAAAGTGCATGCCTCAGGACTGACCTAGCATCACTTTTGCCATCCTCTTTGATTAAGGGAACATGGAGGTCTGCCCACAATCAAGGACAGAGAAGAAGAGCCCACTCTGAACCTCTCATTATAAGGAAAACACAAAGGATGCATTACCCCATGGCAGCCACCTATAGAAAAGGCAGTCTGCCACTCGCCCCACACCGAGGCACAACCACCCACACTTGTGGACACAGCTTCCACATTCAGCACACACACACAGCACACAGACCATGTAGATAAAGTAAAACATTCTGCACATAGTCTCACAACAATATGCACAGTGGTGCAGCCACGTGACATGGCTACACAATTAGACACGTGTAGTTAAACATGGAAACAGGCACACAATACAGCCTCAAAAACCAATCACGGCCCCTTAGGAAACCAGATGGGGAGCAGATGGAGCATACTCTAGATGTCAGCTGTCCCCTCACCCTCCTCCATCTCCCTATCAAGAGCCCATACCCACAAAGCATCTTTGTGAGAAGCAAGATGTGCCAAAGATAAGTAGGGGTGATGGAAGAGGCCATTCACACCACACAGCCCACAGCAAACAACCAAACAGCCTACAGCAGAAGTTCCTCTCAACTAGATTGCGCCCGTGGGTCACTTCTCATCTTTTCTTTCCCTTGCACAGCACCCAGTCGGTCAGCACATTTGTCTTTCTCCTGGATTTTCCCTCAAGCTTCCAAATTCAGTGCCCCCCCCCTTTTTTTTTTAAATTTTTTTTTTTTTTTTTTTTTTTTGACAGGCAGAGTGGACAGTGAGAGAGAGAGACAGAGAGAAAGGTCTTCCTTTGCCGTTGGTTCACCCTCCAATGGCCGCCGCGGCCGGCGCGCTGCGGCCGGCGCACCGCGCTGATCCGATGGCAGGAGCCAGGAGCCAGGTGCTTTTCCTGGTCTCCCATGGGGTGCAGGGCCCAAGCACCTGGGCCATCCTCCACTGCACTCCCTGGCCACAGCAGAGGGCTGGCCTGGAAGAGGGGCAACCGGGACAGAATCCGGCGCCCCAACCGGGACTAGAACCCGGTGTGCCGGCGCCGCTAGGCGGAGGATTAGCCTAGTGAGCCGCGGCGCCGGCCTCAGTGCCCCCTTTTTATTCAGGACGCTCTGGTTTGCCCAGACCCATGGTAAAGGGTCCAGGCAGGGACTAGAGCTGCTGCCAAGGGGGTCTGAAGACAGGATGCTCCTCAGGGCCACCCTCCTCACAGGCCACTTGTGCTCTCACTCTTGTCGTTTTCATTGTCTGTGACAAAATATCCCAGGTGAAGAGGAGACTTACTTTAGCTCACCATTCCGAAGATTCAAAGTCCGTCCAGCACGATGCAGGCTTTGCTGAGGGCCTCCCTTGGCTGTATCAAGTCCTAGTGGGAACATGCGCACCTATCAGTATGCTCTCTTGCCCTCTCCTTATAACGTCACCAGGATTCAGTCATGGGAGCTTCAACTTAACGACCCAATCAAACTATTCTCTAAAATTTCCACCTCCAAACAGCTCTACCTACCACTGACTTAAAGCTCTGGTGACAAATCATATTCTCAGTATAGCATGATCTGCATTTACCAAGGTGTCTGACTGCCAAGGCTGTTCAACTCTACATTCCAGATTTGGGGTGAGCCACAGTGACTGGAACAGTTTGTTGCAGTCTTCACCGCTTACCTGGAAGACTCCCAAAAAGCAGCCTACTGCAAGACTATGATCCCCTCCCCAGTTCAATCAGTGTCAACCCCTACACAAAGGCCAAGGCTGCTGCACCAAGCAGGGAGCTGCAGAAGAAGCGGCCTCTGTTGCAAGAGGATGGTAGGCATGGTGGGGACAGTGGCCAGGCACGTAAGCCTAGCCCTGGGTCAGCAGACCAAAAATAGGAGAACTCTTCCCTCCTCTGATGCTGTCCATAATAAAGGTTCCCATGTGTCAAAACTTTTGGACACCAAATGTGGAGAATAAGGATAACTGTGTGGTATACCTTCGAGCATGAGGTCCTCAAATCCAAAACTATTGTCAAGGGAGCCCAGAGTTAGGATTCTGGAACAGTTAAGAACTTCCTTTAGAATCAAATATAGGTCTCAGTCCTGACTCTGCCTCTCTCTAGCTTAACAGGTTGTTTAACTATAACCAACCTTAATGAGTAGTGTTTTTTTTTTTCATATCTGTGAAACAGGTAATATTAGTACTCACCTCACGTACTGATATGGAAACTGAATGAAACAATATATGCAAAACGTTCAGCATGGTGTCTGGCACACTATAAGTGCTGGATGTGTGTTATCTATTTACTGTAGCTCTTCTCCATGCCCATGGACTACACACACATCATGCCAGAGGCTGAACCAACAGAACTCACGCAGGGGAGCCTGCTTGCTAGTGCACCTAACATTCCAAGTAACTATCCTACTCTGAGCCCCCACACACAGCACACACATTTTACATCGTGCTCCGGCTATCTGGGAGCTTTTGTGGAAAGGTTGGAAAAAGAAGTATCAATCAGGTAGACAAACCCTCGCTCCCATTGGAAATGGGACACGGGAAATGAGCAACACGAGAGTGTCTCTGAGACAAGGAGCCTGCGGAGGCTGCGGTCCCTGGCGCGTTGAGAACAAGCGCAGTGTGATTTTTCTCAGAAGAGCCTTTCTCACTCCGTGTGCTGGAGTAAGAAGGCCCAACTCAGGTGATGGGCTGGCCAGAGTCAACGCATCTTTATTACTCCAGCCACCATGGCTTCCTGCTTCCCCGCAGCCCCCCACAGAGACAGCCAGAGATGGAGGCATTGGCACCAAGATCGTTAGGGAGTTGGGAGGCCCATTGGACCATCGTTAGAGCCACCATGGAGAAATACATCCTGGCTGAGGCTGGATGGCTGAGCCACAGGAACCTCACTGCATTCTTCCTCACGCCTGCTCCTTGGGGACAGGGAGCAGTAGAGGCTGGAACGAGGGGTAAGGAGGAGGGACCCTTCTCCAGGGCAGGGGATCTGAGTGCTGTGGCCTTATCCACGGCCCAGGCCAGGGCAACAGCAACACTAATAATCACCTAATATTGAACAGAACGTTACAGGGTAGAGAGCTTTCTCACATTCCTTTTACTGTTTAATTCTCTCAGAAGCCCTGTGAGATCTAGCATTAACTTCCCTTCATCAATCAAAATAGGAGCCAGAGGTCAAATGCACTGAGACATACAGCACCAACTGGGTGCACGCCAGCCCTGAAATGGAGCACGAGGAATGGAGTGCTCCCCGAGGGCCCAAGGAGACCTCAGCCTGGATTTGGTTCCAAAGCTAATATTTTCACATTATGAATATATCAGATTCCACCTACCAGAGTGTGTCCCTTAGCTGACACCTTCACTGAGTTCACATACCAGGTGCTGTGCTATGAGGTGGGGATACAATAGACTCAGTCCTGAGGTAGATTAAAAATGGCCCCAAGGGGCAGGCATTTGGCAAAGCAGCCAAGATTCTTGCACCCCATATCAGACTATCTGGGTTTGAATCTTATCTCCAGCTCCTAACTCCAGGTTAATGCACACCCTGAAAGACAGTAGGTGATGGCTCTAGTTGTTGGGTTCCTGCCACCCACATGGGAAACCTGGATTGAGTTTCCAGCTCCCAGCCTTGGCCTATCCCAGACCCAGTTCAGGACACTGTGAGAATTTAGGCATGAACTAGTGGTTGGGAAGTATTTCTCTCTCTCTCTCTCTCCTCTCTCTCTCTGCCTGTCACATAAACAAAAATTATAATTTTTTTATGTAGTTGGTAGAGTTATAGACAGTGAGAGAGAGAGACAGAGAGAAAGGTCTTCCTTCTATTGGTTCACCCTCCATATGGCCGCTACAGCCAGCACTGCGCCAATCCGAAGCCAGGAGTCAGGTGCTTCTTCCTGGTCTCCCATGCGGGTGCAGGGGCCCAAGCACTTGGGCCATCCTCCACTGCCCTCCCAGGCCACGGCAGAGAGCTGAACCGGAAGAGGAGCAACCGGGACTAGAACCCAGCGCCCATATGGGATGCCGGCACCGCTGGCGGAGAATTAACCAAGTGAGCCACAGCGCCGCCCCCCGCCCCAAATAAATTTTTTAAGATAGCTTTAGGGGCTGGTATTGTGGTGCACCAGTTTAAGCTACCATCTATAATGCCAGCATACCATATGAGTGCTGGTTGAAGTCCCATTGTTCCACTTATAATCCAGCTCCCTGCTAATGTGCCTGGGAAGGCAGCAGAAGACGGCCTAAGGATTTGGGCCCCTGCCACCCATGTGTGAGACCTAGATGGAGTTTCTGGTTCCTGGCTTGACCCCTGGCCACTGTAGCCATTTGGGGAGTGAGCTAGAAGATGGGAGATCTCTCTCTTTTTCTCTCTCTCACTCTCACTCTTACTCTTTGTAACCTGCCTTCCAAATAAATAAATAGATCTTAAAAAAAAAAAAAAAGGCTCAAATTCTTTGCCACTCCTGTCATCAAGAGGTAAGGCATGTGCTTCCTCTCCCTTTAGTCATAGGCTGGCCTGAGACTCCTCTGACCAACAGGGGAGAGGAATGGTGGAGCTATGCAGCGAGAAGCCTAGTCTTTGAATGCTTCCACTTGGGGGAGGGGGGTCTCCTGCAGCCTTAGTCACTCTGTGACCAAGTCTCTCCCCAGTACAGAGAGGGTGTGGAAAAGGACTGGGACCCAGTGGAGCGCAGCCTCCCAGGCTGTCCTGCCAGGGCACCAGATGTGTAAGTGAAGCTTTTTGGATCTTCCAGACCAGACTGGCAAGCAGCTGAGCACCCCGACAGGTGCCAATCAACATCACAAGGAGCAGAATGGCCATGCCCAACCCTCCCCAGAAGCCTGACTCACAGAAATTTGAGGTATAACCAAATGGTTGCTTGAATACACAGACTGGCAAACTTCTGAGAAGGACTACATCATAAATTTAAGGCTTTGTGTACCACATATTGTCCTGTCACATAATGTTCTGGCTTTTCTTCTGTTGCTGGTATTGGTGTTGGTTTGGTGTGTTGTGTTTTTTGTTTTTTCACAACCCCTTGAAAATGTGAAAAACCATTCTTAACTTGCCAGCTATACAAACACAGGCTGTGGGCAGCATCTAGCACATGGGCCCTACTTTGCAAACCTGTTTTTTTTTGTTTGTTTCATTTTGTTTGTTTTGCCAGGCAGAGTTAAGACAGTGAGAGAGAGAGACAGAGAGAAAGGTCTTCCTTCTGTTGGTTCACCCCCCAAATGGCCGCTACAGCCAGTGCACTGCGCAGATCCGAAGCCAGGAGTCAGGTGCTCCCTCCTGGTCTCCCATGCGGGTGCAGGGCCCAAGCACTTGGGCCACCCTCCACTGCCTTCCTGGGCCACACCAGAGAGCTGGATTGGAAGAGGAGCAACCGGGACAGAACCGGCGCCCCGACCAGGACTAGAACCCGGGGTACCGGCGCCGGCCAGCCAAGCCGTTTTAAGTACTAATGTTTAAGGTAGCTTGTAATCCAGCAACAAAAGAGTCTCTTCTTTCATGAAGCTAAAACCTTTTAAGGGCAGGCATTTGGCTCCAGTGGTTAAGTCACCACTTGGGATTTGAGTCCTGGCTCCACTTCAAATCCAGCTTCCTACTAAGTGCACCCTGGGAAGGCAGCAGATAATGGTTCATGTAGTTGAGTCCCTGCCACACATATGGAAGACCCAGACTGAGTTCCCAGCTCCTGACTTCATCCCGGCCCAGTGCCATTTTGCAGGAATTTGGGGAGTGATCCAGCATTTGAGAAATGGATCTTACTCTTTCTCAATCTCTCTCTCTCTCTCTCTCTCTCTCTCTGACTCTGCCTTTTAAATAATTGAAAAAAATAAATAAGTTTAAATGCTGTAAGACAAATATAAAACAGAAAATAAGCAATTATAATCAAATTAGTACCCATAAAGTAAATGTGCCCGGTGCCATGTTTTGTTTTTGTTTTTAAAGATTTATTTATTTATTTGAAAGGCAGAGTTCCAGAGAGGCAGAGGCAGAGGCAGAGACAGAGAGCAAGAGAGGTCTTCCATCTACTGGTTTGCTCCCCAAATGGCTGCAATAGCCGGAGCTGCACCAACCCCAAGCCAAGAGCCAGGAGCTTCTTTTGGGTCTTCCATATGAGTGCAGGGGCCCAAAGACTTAGGCCATCTTCTACTGCTTTCCCAGGCCATCACAGAGAGTTGGATTAGAAGTGGAACAGCCGGGACTTGAACTGGTGCCCATATGGGATGCCAGCACTACAGGCAGCAGCTTTACTCACTATGCCATGGTGCCAACCCCATGGCATGGGTTTTAATGTCATTAGGGATTCCAGTAAAACCTTCCCCCAAAAGGCAACATTTAGGCTGAGACTTGGAGGATGACTAGAAGTTTGCTGGCAGAGAGAAGCAGGGTACAATATAATGGCCCAGCATGGTACCTTCTGTATAGCACCCCTCGCCCCAGAACTCTCTTCTGGATAGTCAAAAGCCTGCATCACATCGCACTTCTTCCTCTGCCAAATGCTGCTCCTGTGCCCTTTCTTTCACAGCCATTGTTCCCCCAACATCTTGAACCCCAAGCTCTATTTCAGAGCCTGCCTCTGGAGAACCTAACCTGTGAAACTGGCCAAAACAGAAAAGGAATTGACGGGTGTAATTGAAGAGTCAGTGGGTAAAGTCTTGAGTTTCAAACCAAGGTGGATTCAGAGCCCCAACTAAGGTAACTGACATGATATACAGACTTTCAGTGCAAACCCCAGGAAAATCCAAGGCAAAGAGGGACAGGTGGTGACTACAGCTGTGACGTATAACCAGGTCTTAGTGCCTTCGTGTTTCCTGGCTCTGCTTCCAGCAGTTGGACAGTTCAGTCTCCGGCTCTACATGTAGCAAGACAGGTCAGCAGCTCCAGACCCTATGGTCTCTCAGGTCTGCGCCCTCCAAGAAAGGAACTAGTTTGCTCCTCCCATGACTCCAAAGGATTCTACTGAATCTCACTGGCTGTCATTCATCTGCTCCAGTCATGTGCCCATTTCTCTTTTGGTTTAGTATTTTTGTAACTGAAATACAATGTACACATTATAAAAATTAGTTTAAAAATTTGCAGCTATAAACTTACCATGATCATGAAGCTAGTTTTCCAGGGTGAGGCTCATCCTTTGCACTCAAGATGTGTTGACCCCTGCAATTTCCCCAATGTGGGAAACTTGACTGCATAATTTGTGGTAGTGGGGTACTGTGTTCGCCCTCTCCTCTGTTAAAAAATAAAATGAAATGTGCACTTATTTCTTTTTATTTGTGAGACAGAGAGAGAGACATATAGACACAGAGGTCTTCTATCTGCTGGTTCACTCCTCAGATGCCCACAATAGCCAGGGCTGCACCAGGCCAAAGGCAGGAGCCTGGAACTCAATCTGTGTCTCCTGGTGGGTGGTAGGGACCTAATTACCTGAGCAACAACCTGCTGCCTCCCAGGTTATACATCAGCAGGAAGCTGGAATTTGGATCCAGGATTCAAACCAGGCACTCTGATAGAGCACACGTCCAATACAGAATGCAGATGTCTTAAGCACTGTTTCAACCACTGAGCCAAATAACTGCTCCAGAATCATTTTTTAAAGCAAGTATTTCAGTACATTTTTAAGCATATTTGTAATGTTACATAACTATCAATACTCTGTAATTCTAAAACACTTTAATAATCCCAAAGAGAAACCCTATACCCAGTAGCAGTCACTCCACATTACTCTCTCTTCCAGCACCTGTCAATCATTGATCAGCTGTTGGCCTCCCTGGAATTGCCCATTCTGGGTATTTCACATAAATGCAATTATGTAACATATGGCCTTATGCACCTACCATCTTTCACTCAGCATAATGTTTTCAAGGTTCATCCATCTTGTGATATAAATCAGTACTTAGATCCCTCTTCTGGATGAGTAATATTTCATTGTATTGTTTGCCAGATTTTATGTATCCATCAGATGAGGGATGTTTGGGTTTTTCCCACTTTTTGGCTATTGCAAACAACGCTGCTGTAATGTTCATATACAAGTTGTTGCTTGAACACTGGTTTTCAACTCCCTCATGTACATTCCTAAAAGTGGGATTGCAGAGTCACAGAGTACTCTATGTATGGAGTGTTTTATTTTTTAAGAGTTATTTATTTATTTGAAAAGCAATGTGGAGGGGAGAGAGATCTTCTATTTGCTGGCTCACTCTCCAAATGGCCACAACAGCAGGGGCTGGGCCAGGTCAAAGCCAGAAGCCTAGAAACTCCATCCAGGTCTTCCATGTGGGTGACAGGGGCCCAAGCACTTGGGCCATGTTCTACTGCCTTCTATTGGCACATTAGCATGGAACTAGACTGGAAGTTGAAGAGCCAAGACTTGAACCAGCTCATATGGTATGCTGACATTGTAGGCATGATTTAACCCACTGCACCACAACAATGACCCCTGACTAACCAATTTAAACTTAAGTCATGTGTTCTACTCCTGGTGCTGGGGGCAGAGTCAGTTTCACCAGAACCATACAGACTAAAGAAAGAATAATGGTGCACTGGAAGGAAATAGGATACAACCATCAGGTGGAAGACGAATGGACTTTCAGCAGCAAATTCACAGATGACCACTGCAAATAACTGCATTTATTTATTGCCAGAGCCAGGCACTGTATTAAGTACATGCAATATAGTATGTAACTCTCACAGCAACTTTATAAGTATTCTATTATCATTCCCATGTTACAGATGAGGAAAGTGAGCCTTGGAAAACTTGAGAAATTTATCCAAGTTTATATAGCTCAGAGGTGGGTATTTGAACTCAGATCTGACTGCAAAGTGTCAGAGAAAAACAGATTTTGAGTTATGTTAAAATATATCTGTTAGAGGCCCTTTTCCTTCATTTGCCCAGTACTTTTTATAGTTACTTGGGAAGAGTCTGTGTAACCAAAAATTCCCTTTCACACCAAGGACAGGGAAGAACAGGTTTTCATAATGAAAAAAACCTGTTGACATTTTTTTTCCTTTAGATTTCCAAGTCATCTTCCCAATTTTGTCAGATACTGCATCATTGGCATTGAGATTTAAAAACTGTATTTTTTCAGAAAGCTTTCATTCTTCTTATAACCACCCTTCTTCTTCTAAGAGGCCTAGAAATTCAGCTAAATTCAGCTTGCCACAAGATCAGGAAACGCAGAAGTCCATGCCGCACTCCTACCCTCCTCCAGACAGGATTTCCAAGTGCCCTGGTCCCTTCATGGGTCCTCAGGGTGAGGATGTGGGGCCAGGGGTCTCTGACCCCCACCCATCCTCTGCTCCTTTCCACCAAAGCCCAGACTGCATGAGAGCAGGGGCAGGGGAAGACGGGAGGTGTGGGGAACACCAGACAGTTGAGGGGATAGAAGGAGTCGAATTTCACCCACCCTCTGCCAATTTCCAAAGGCCAGCTCTTGGAGAATCACAGCAGAGCAACCTCATTATGAGCTGTATACTATATTAAGCTTCTTGCTGAGCTGCAGGCTTACCACACCATACTGGCTCCTTGAGAGACCCCATCCTGCCACCCCCTCCTCTCCATACACGCACATCTCCACCAAAGCAACATATATCCAAAGCCCTCGAAAGATTTACTGCCAGCACTGCAGACAAATAAGTGAATACCCAGCAGTTGATTCCAAAGACAGGATGCTCATTTGCATGAGGAGTTGCATGTTATTTGCATTATATTTGCAAGTCATTTGCATATCAGGTCTGCCCTGTCAAAATGTACATAAATCCTTTATACTTTCACTTTTTTTTTTTTTTCCCTAAAAAGGACTACACCCCCAGATCCTGCCCAGACTGTCTGGTGAAATCTCTGGTTGAGTATTCCTAGCTTGATCGTGAAGAGCCTCACAGGACACACTGTGAAGACTGCAAACTGCAGGAGATTTCCTAGGATCTCAGAAGCTAGTTTGAGAAACTTCATTCACTCATTTATTCAATAATTTACTGAACATATCTAGTGTACCCGGCACTGTTGTTGTAGATGCTGAAGATGTGTTTGTGAACAGATAAAAATAATGACAGCATTAAACGTTAAATGCTGTCATTTTGGAAGATTCCTTTGGCACCATCCGTGATCAATAAATGCAAGAGCAAAGCAAGACACTCAGATTTACCAGAATTGGTTACAAGGTCACGTGGGTATCACAGACTATTACATTATTACTTACATTATTAATTTAAGATTAATCCTGAAATTAAAACAAATAAAAATAAACAAATAATAAGAAAGTATACTCAAAACACATGAGCGTGTGTCCCCACACACCCACGAACCCCAGGTTTGAGACACTCTGGGGTTTACAGGATTTAAACAGGAAAATATCTTTGAAAGATCACTGTAGAGCAGGAGTGGGGACTGGAAGGGCACTGGATCAGGTGCAGAGAGGTCAGTGAGAGGCCCTGTTGGCCTGGGTGTATTTAGATGTGGAGCTGTCCATACTGCCAGCCTCATAAAAATCCAGGGCCCCATCACAGGTATCCATCGGAAATGGATCTACCGCATACATGGTAGCTGCAGAAATATTTAATGAGGAGCTTTACAGTTGAGGGGAAGGGTGGACTCACGACCCATATTGTTTTACTTGAATGTTCAGTTTTGGACATGTCTATCCAAGTTCTTCATGTAGTCACAAGTCCGTCTCAATTCTTCTGTCTCCCAGCTCTCAAATGACTATGATCTCTTTTCCTGATGCTTTAAACTCTGGAACTCCAAATTCATCATTCCTTTATTTTACAGAGCAATTCAGCTGCTATTCCTGAATCTCAGGTCATGTGAGAAAACAGAGCCATTCAGTTCCAAGACCTACACTGGGGGATGATATAAATAACTGTTTTAGAAAGTCTGTCCTTGGGACAGGCACTTGGCACAGTGGTTAAGACGCTGCCTGGGACACCAGCTTCCCATATTAGAGAGCCTGAGTTTGAGTCCAGGCTCCATTTCTGATCCAGCTGCCTGAAAATGTTCACCCTGCAAGGCAGCAGGTGATGGCTCAAGTACTCGGATCCCACCCACCCATATGGGAGACCCCGATTAGGTTCCTGACTGCAAGCTTGGCCTGGCCTACTCCTAGCTGTTTTGGGCATTTGGCAAATGAACCAGTGAATGAGAGATCTCTGTTTATTTCTGTCTCTGTGTCTCTGCCTTTCAAATCAAAAGTGGAAATGATTTTTTTTTTAAGATATATTTTATTTCAAAGACAGAGTTACAGAGAGAGGTAGAGACCAAGAGAGGTCTTCCATTGGCTGATTCACTCCCCAAATGGCTGTAAAGGCTGGAGGTGAGTAGATCTGAAGCCAAGAGCAGGAGCTTCTTCTACGTCTCCCACATGGGTGCAGGGGCACAAGTACTTGGGCCATCTTCTGCTGCTTTCCCAAGGCACATTAGCAAGGAGATGGATCAGAAAAGGAGAAGCCAGGACTAGAACCAGCACCCACATGGGATGCCGGTGCTGCAAGCCAGGGCCTTAACTCACTGTGCCATAGTGCTGGCCCCAAAAATGTATTTATTTAGAAGTCTGTGCTAATCTGGTATGTAAGCCATCACTTAGAATGCCAGCATCCCATATTAGAGTGCCAGTTCATGTCCCAGCTATTCCACTTTCAATCCAGCTCCCTGCTAATGCACCTTGGAAAACAGAAGAGTACTAAGTACTCTTAGTACTAAGTACTTAGTACTCAAGTACTAAGGCCCCTGCACATGGGAGACCCAGATGAAGTTCCAGGCTCCTGGCTTTGGCCTGCCCTACCCCTGGCTGTTGTGGCCATTTGAGGAGTGAACCAAATGAAGAAAATATCTCTTTCTCTTTGTCTCTCCTCCTCTCTCTGACTCCTGCCTTTCTTTCTCTCAACGAAAAACTAAACACAAACAAACAAAAAAAAAAAAGTCTGTCCTTAAGAAAAAGTTGATAGGTGCCGGTGCTGTGACATAGTGGGTAAAGCCACTGCCTGCATACGGGCACCAGTCTGAGTCCCAGCGGCTCCACTTCTGATCCAGCTCTGCCATGGCCTAGTAGGACAGCAAACATTGGCCCAAGTCTTTGTGAGAGACCCGTAAGAAACTCAAGACTCCTGGCTTCAAATGGGCCCAGCTCCAGCCATTGTGGCCATTTGGGGAGTGAACCAGCACATAGAACATTCTCTTTCTCTCTCTCTCTCTCTCTCTGCCTCTGTAACTCTGCCTTTCAAATAAATAAATCTTTAAAAAT